GTGACGTAACTGCTTTAGTACTCTATTACTTAAGCAATTTTCGCAGTAATATTCTAGATGGTTCTCTACTTCTGAACCTTTTTTTGGTCTTCACAGTTTGTCTCATTACTGAAAGTGATCTTTGATTTTCTTTACCACTCATCTGAATATGTAGTGAATTATTTATATTAACCACATTAACTGAACCAGGTACAGCCTTTAAAGGTGCATCATTACAGTATTCATCACAGTTATTTTTTTGACTAGGCAATCGTCACAACAACCTTTTTTCAGGATGGCAGTTTTCTCTTGATGGACTTCATTTGTGTTCCCAAAAACAACTTTTGAGCCCAAAGTATTAATCATATCACAAAGCACATTCCTGGTGTCCAGAGGAACATCAGTTTTTGTATCCCAAAGTATATTATTAGTGTCTCAAAAGACATGATTTGAGCCCCAAAGGATATATTTAGTGCCCAGAGGTACATATTCAGTATCTTGGAGGAAATCTCTCCTGTCCCGAAAGACCAAAGCATTTCCTCAAAGAAAAATATTTGGAGTTGAAGTGGTTGTAAATCACCAAAGCATGTGAGAAACTTTGATGGCCATCTTTCCATTCAAAACTTTTAATAATTTGCCCTGATCTCTGAAAGACACTTTAACAACAAATTTTTGGTACATTTGAAGAAAGGTCTGCCTGCTCCAACAAGAAAGATAATAGGAAAACATCATTTACTTACTGCTAATCCTGAATAAAGCATTACTACGTGCAAAGTCCATGTGAAGAGTCATGCTTATGCTAAGAAAACGGTCAGGGGATAATCAGAGCAATAGATCGATTTAAGAATATGCACAGTTTGTAGACATTTATAATTGTGAAAATGATTGTGAAATTGGCAATTTTCAATCAGGATGCTACTATTTCACAGAATCCAAACAATTTATTACTGTAGAAAACATGTCTAGTTCTAATCAAAGGCTCCTTTGGGCTACCTCATGGTATATCATTATTATTTGTATTAGTTTTGTATTGTAATTTTCTCTTTAAATTTACTTTAATTGTACCAGTATCATTAGGTAACCTTGGTAACACATTGGATACTTCTGCCACTACATAAACTACATTTCTAAGAATTTTGAACTGCCTTCCCCTTGGAGCTTGCATTAATTTTTGAAATGCAAGTCTTGGTCTACAAAGTCTAAATTCAAGTTCATTCAAGTCAAAAAAAATCTGGTTGTTTTGGAAATTGCATGCTGTTCAAAATAGCAGTTTGAGGAACTTTATTCTTTATTAAGTACTTGTAGCATGTTCTGCAAAGCCACTCTTTATGTTTGACACTTACTTTGTTTATAAGGTATTTTTCCCCAGCTGTAGGCTTTGATTTCTTTAATGTATAGGCTGAAGCAACACTATGTTTATACCATAGCTGGTCGCAACAGCTACAGATGTGTAATAGACCCTGTGATGCTATTTCATGAAAATTTGAAATGTGATGATTCTCACTTAGGTCTTCATCATTATTACTTTTTGCAGCAGTTGTTGCTACTCTAATTTGACATTCTCTATTCTGATTTGTTATCTCACAGTGACATTGTTTGTCTTGGTTTTTCTTAGTGGTAAAACTTTGGTCATCTAGCCCAGACAGAACACCGCTATTCCTGTTGTTTGATTTTTGCATCCTACCTTCATCAGTTCTCCTTTTTTTCATATATTCCCTCAGGTAAGGATTGCAATTCCTTTTGGCGCTTTCTTCATTGATTTTAGATGTCTGCTTCCTACTTTCACTGGCCTTTTTCTTTTTCCTTTATTCGCTCATGTACATGCTTTTTTTCCTTTTTAGGCTGGCATTATGTGATTCTTCAGAGACAACTTTTGTTCTATTTTGTATAAATTATCAATATGCTGACTTTCTAATGAACTAGAGCTACACATATATGGTTCTGTTGATACATAATGTTCTTCGCTTACATGACCTAAATAAATTGTTGTAGGAGGTTGTTGCAATAAATGTGCCAGTTCAATTAAAGTTGTATCAGAAAAATTTTCATTGGATTCTACAATATGAATTCTCAAGTTTTTTGACTCAGCAATTGCCTGAACAATGATTGCATCACACCATGAACCTTGCAGAGACATATTAACCAAATAGTCATCCCATGAACTGTGGGTATTGCTTTCAATGAAATTTTCTGGTTTTGTCCTGAGATAATTAATACCACCTTGTTTGATTTTCAAGTGGTGACTTGGATCACCATACAACTGATGAGAAACAGCTCTAAAGAAACAATCACCTGTACCACCCACATCAAGGAGTCTCAGTCCTAGCTGATGTAATTGAAAATTTAACAACATGGTGGAGCTTAATGACAATGTAGTTTGAGTGTTGACACCTTGAAGAGGACCTGGATTTAATTCAACATCACCTGAAGTCAAAAGCTTCATTCTTGACAGACAGAATCTTCTACAGTGAGCACTTGATGCTATTTTTTTGTGGTTAAATGAAAGGGCATGAGCTCCAAGTTTGCTTTTCTTTGCAGTCAGTTAGTTTAATTTTACAAACTTAGTGAAAAATCCTTCTTGTCTGTTCAGATATCTGACATAGCAGAACTTAAAGTCAGTAGCAAAGCTGTACAACCAAGAAGATTTAGGAATATATTTACTTACAGAAACCTTAAATTTGCTTGTAGCTTTCTTATCTTTGCAGTCTTGAAAACCTTGTTCATCAATATTCTGGACGGCTCTCGGTCTCTACGTCATTTAATTGTTTTAGCTGTTTTGGAATGCCTGCATGTATTACTATTCTCCTTTGTGAAGAAAGCAAGATACTCAAATCCGTCGATTTTGTTGAATGGATGCTAACATTCTTAAGAGCACTTATTTTTAAAATTATTTTGTCTATATAAATATGCCATAGTTTTCTTCAATGGTTCATTACTCAAAGGCAATCTCAGTTTAACGACAGCAGATTTTCATGCTCTGCGCGATCCATTTTCAAAATACAGTTTCTTCAATCCTTTTACGGGCTCTACAGTCCCAAAACAGAGCACAATTTTCCCCAAAAGGGACTTAATAGTTCCCAAATGGGCCTCAACTCTCCCCATAAGGGGCTCAATAATTGCATTCATGAAAGCATGGTCAACATCTTGTTGGCACCAGCTGCTTTGATGGATCACCTGAAAGTATCGTGTTAAGCCTTCCACTTGTTCATATTGACCCATGCTTTGAAAACTGTGGCATAATGCGAAACAAACTTTGAGGAAATTCATTATAGACTCCACAAAAGACCACTTCACTTGCCTACTTCACCATCCACGTTAAAGAGAGAGAACAAAGCAGATCTAAACAAAAAAAGGAGACAAGAATGGATGCTTATCAAAAAAAATAATAAAACAAGAATAACATTTAATGTGTGAGAGAAAAAAATGCAGATGGCAAAGTTAGTGGTCTGTAAGAATGGACCAGTTTGTTGGGATCAGACAAAAAGAAACTTATGAAACAAGTTACTGTATTTATTCACTTAAAAGGCACACTTGGTTACAAGACACACTCTAAACTTTCGAAGACGATTGTGACTAGTGAGCGAAATGAAAATTTCACATAAATACCCTGTTATAAGGCACACCTGGAATTACGGAAATTTTGTTGACCATATTCGCTTTACTTACAACAATTTGCTTCCAAAAGTTGATAATTACAGTGCTCCCATTCTCAAAACAAAAGCAAAAAAGTCACACATTACAAACAATACCAAAAAAGTCACACATGGAAAATAGCATAAAAGTCACACTTTTTAATTCACTAAAGTCATCCTTCTCGGGAGACAGTGTTTTAAGTTATGGATAGTAATTGATCCGTTTTTATGTTTATAATCAATACTCATCTGACCAGTTCATCTTAATCTTTGATCATTTGTTCAGTGTACCGTAAATTTTCAGCAATTATGTCAACCACTTGTCGTCATTCCTATGATCTAAACTTAAAGTTGAAGATCGTAGCAGATGCGGAAGCTGTGAACAACAATCGTGAAATTGCTCGTGAATATGGCTTATCGGAATCAATGGTCTGTAAATGGATAAGCCAACAGCATGTCTTGTTTTCCGGCGAGTTAAAGATGACTGCCAGATGTACCTTGATGGGTCGCTACCAGCCAAAAGATCCAGAAGTTGATCAGCAGTTGGTTGACTGGTTCAGCAATCAAAGAAGGCAAGGCAAAAATTGTTCACTGAAATGACATTGATAACTGCACTGTTTCCATTACTCCTACAAGTTGTTTATGTTGGCCTTTCGCTGTCAATCGCTGATCGCATTGTTTTTATGTTTGCAGGTCTTGCAGTGAACAGCATCATGATTCGGCTAAAAGTGAAGGAACTCAGCTCAGATCCAGACCTCAAGGCTTCCCCTGACTCAGGTACACAAAATGGAAACATCGCCATGCAATTTCGATGAGAAGTAAGACGACTTTGGCTCAGGGTCTTCTAGCCGACATGGAGGACAAGGTAGTGGAATTCCATTGCTTCGTGGTGAGAGCGGAATGACAAGGACAACGAGGACAAGGACAATTTCGTTCAGGTCTTCTCATTACAATCAATGTGATAATGTCAGGAAGAACTAGGAATCTTTGTGTTAGAAACATTTGAGCATTCAATCATTCAAGTTATTTCATATTAAATTTGCATTTTGACTCATTTGGCTAGTCTCATTTGATTGGTACAAATAAAAATGTACTTACTCCAGCTGTGTCAGAACAACCACTTACTTAACAAGGATTACACATTACTCATACATCCAACTCTTGCTCAATAGCCAAGTTCTTTTCTCAAAAGGGTCCTGTGAGAATCCTTCAACCTCTGTCCAACTGACTTGGTTTCCAGGTACAGTTTTGGCTCAAAATAGGGAAATCTTGCCTTATTGCACTTATCATCCACACAATAGAATTTAGCTGTGTACTTTGAAGATGGAAGCTTTTCACCTGGATTGTTGGCATCAGGATACATCTATTTTTCTTCATGGGATAGCATGATGTCAAATGGGAAGGCAGTTTTTCGTTGAGGAAACTCTTTATCACACTGTGTACAAGAAATGGCTTTAACCTCGTGGGACAAACAAGCACACTTTCAGCAGTCAGTTGTTGTGGTGGGTTTTTGTGAACGGTTTCGCCAGTCCTGAGGCAGAGTTGTTACTCTCAGATCTTGGCAGACGCCTGGCATTCTTGTGCCTCCCCCTTTCTCCCTGCTGCACTTTTTACCGGAACAACAAGACCAGTCCGTGACTTCATAGAAGTGCCCAGTCTAACAGCAACATAGTCAACATGCTTTTTTAGTATGTCAACAGATTGTGCAATGCAAAGACTGTGTTTGCAGAGTGAATTGTACTTAAAAGATTGACAATTGCAAATTAGCTGATCTTTGTGTACAATGCACTCATGCGTAGCACTCACGCAACAAGATATTTTCTTGGCGTGGTATCAGACGAGACTGTTGGCTTTCTCTGAAGAGAGTTTGAGCTGTTTAGGAGTTGCTCCGCTCCCTTTACTATGGTCTTAATCAGTTCCGCCAATGAGCTTGTATCATAGAGAGAAGTAATGTCATCTTTGGGTAGTTCTTGGTACTCCAAACTCTCCTGATCCTCATGCTGCTCTTTACCTTCAGGAATGTTCTTGCCTTTTGCTAGGTCTTTGACACTTAATTTGTCAAACTTGCTGATGTAGTGAACTCTTTTGGTTTCAGTCCATTCAAGCCATCCCTCGGCTGTTACTTCAAGGTAACTCGCAATATGGGCAAGCTTTTTATTCATTGCTCATCCCACAGACTGCCTTGCTTAATTCCAATTGTGGTTCGCAATCAATCTCTTCCCACACTTCTTTTACAAACTCCAACTTTGTGAGGTTGTCTTTACTTTTCTCTTTTCTGGTGACTGCCTTCTTTTGCCTTGTCAATTTCTTCTCGACACTTTCGCCATATTGGTGTAACAACGCAAGGGCTTCCTGTTGGAATCAGAGGGCATGCCTGCCTTTCTTCTTGACTAGGTAATCATAGAATCTTTCTTCATCTTCTTGTTCACTGACAGATATGTCCAGAACTGTGGATCATTGCCAGTTATTCGTCTTTCTTCTTCTTCTAGCTCATCTTTCACAGCAGTTAGTTTCGATTTCAGATCCTTCTTGTCTTCAGCCTCAAGGAAAGAGTTGGGGTGTGTTCCAAGTATTCGTTCAATGAAAAACACTTGTTCTTGCTTCTTGGTTATTTCCACAGATTTCAATTTAGATTTGCGATTTTCCCTAGAATGGTTAAAGCACCTTAGGCCAGTAGCCTTTGGCATTGTTTCTGCTAGTGCATCCAACAGAGCTTTTTCTCCATCTGTTACAGATACACGAGCCTTTCTTGACAATTGTGGACAGCTTGCAAAAACAGCGGATGCAATGTTCTTATAGACAGTTTTCGACTTACTACAATGTAAAGCAGTTGGTCCGATGAAGACAGGAGCTTCATTGGTTCTTGTTGATTTCAACAGCAGGTGTTGTAGGAAAATGGAGTTACTTCAAATTTTCCAAAGTTAAATGTGGGATCTACACAAAATGGGTGACTTCTGATTTCCGAAGTACAAAACTGGGAAAGATCCCTGTTCATGCGGGCTTTACTGAGCACCCAGAGATCCTCAGGTACATCATGATGCTTGATAATGAATGGCTCGTCCTTAGATTGAGAATACAGTGATAGCTCATCTACCTGGTCTCTGGTTTTGGCCTTGCGTTTTAGATCATAAAGCTGTTTTCTAGACCTTGGCAGTTTTCCCGGCTGCTGAGCACCAAGCATTCCACCAGATGCACTTGAAACCTTCCTAGAGGCAACAGAGGGGGCATTTTCATAGACTTCAGCTTTCATCGCATCTAATGTACTTTTCTGGGTCAGGTAGGACGGTGTTTTTCCATGTTCACAATTGCCATGTGGTGCCACATCAAACACCAGATCTTCATTATCATTGTCATCTTCCAGGTGATATTGCAGGAAGCATGTATTGTGCAGTATGTTACCACCCTCGTCAGACAAAAAGAAAAGGAGTGGCATAGCTGTTCATTTCAGAATTGATATGAATGTGCATTTGGCTACCACAGGTTAAAGGGATTCTTTTCTTCACGAGGATCTGAACATCCATTTCAACTCCGATATGGAGAGTCCAGGTTCCAATCCTGAGCACTTTAGGGAATGTGCCATTCATGTCACTTTTCCTGTCTTCCCAGTGTGTTAAATTACTCCATCGATGAGGAAGGCATGTTTTGTCTCACCCTGAGTGGTGTCTTTTTGTTCTTTCATTGCTCCTCATAGCACAACAGAACACTGGTTGCTTCTCTAATGGTGTGACAATTCTTCTTTCCCGTTTTGAATACGGGGAGTTCAATATTGTTACTGTATTCAGAATTTTGTTCAGTGTTTCCATGGTTCTCATCTTCCTATAAAATGATAATGGATGTTATGTTACTGAGGTTATGTTACTGAGGTCTCA